AGGGGCAGTGTTACGACAGCGGAAGTCACGTGATGCTGGGAGCATGCATGACCGAGTTTCTCAAATTTTCAGGGAAGCTCGAGTGTGATCGAGAGATGCCTCTTTGTAAATATATAAGCCTGGCAGAGAAAGCCTGGGGATTGAATGTATGATAGAGTGAACAGTAGTCACGGTGAGTTTCGGGCTAGTGTGTTTTGCACTTGTAGAGAGCAAAGTTATCGAGATTGTGAATCGCTGTGATTTAGAGCATGTTATAAAAGTTGTTAAGTTTAAAGTGACGAAAAACATACTGACTGTAGAATTACTGTGTACTAAAAGTTTGTATCAAGAAAGAATAAACTGGCTTAATTAAGAAGGGACTTGTATCGCTGAAGTTCCTCGGAAGGAAATTCTAATGGAAATTAACAAACAAGCAGGTATTTTGTTCATAGAAAATAAGATTTATTGTGTAGGTTTATGTAGTCAGAGTCTGTTATTTTATGTTATTTTCTCTTCCCTAACACTATACAAATTTGGTCCATTTGATCAGTCTCATACCCACCACAAAAATATAAAATATAAATTACCTTTATTTTCATTCTACAATGTCGGCACATTGTGACAGACCTTTACACACTACTTATTTTGCAGCCTAAGCTAATTGATTTTTTCATTTTTCTTTTGTTGTTGTTGTTTACAGTCGAACTTTGATCCCAGGTTTATTTAAGTTTTTAATATAACTCTGTAAGGTGGATGTGATATGTGCACTTTAAGCCACCAGTTCTGAGTGCATTAAAGAAGTACAATTTGTTTGTTGAATTTATGGGTTGGAGGGGAAATTGGAGGCTATCTTAGATAGAGTATAGGAGATACATACAAGTAAGTGTAAACTGTGGGAATTGGCAGCAGGAATTAAATAGAAACATAAGCTTTTACATGTAAGGGACAAAGTAGCTAATAATGACTTTAAGGAAGTTTGAAACAGTACTGTTTAGGCTAGAAGAATTGGACTTAATTGTATTAAGCAGGTTCTATTAAATAACAGATTTCAGATCTTTTAGAAAACAGTACAAGTCTATTGTACATAAAAAATCAAATGTATTATGAAAGTATTTGTACTCAAGACATGTCTCTGAATTCACAATATCTGTCTGACTCAGACTCTGACAAATTGTAGTGCTAGGTGATGTTTGTGGGAAGAATTAAAAATATTTGTGTCCATTGTGCAGTTTGAATATTACACCTGCATAACTTTTAGAACTTACAATATATGTGTCTACAGTTTTTTCATTATCCTTGTATGTTGAATGTGGTATTTATTGCTAAATCAGCAATGTAGATAATTCTGACATCAAATACATAATATCATGTTGTATGGCACTCTGAAAAAGGGCATGGCATGTACACCTTAACTCTCACCCATGCACATAGGGTTAAAGGGAAGGGCCATAATAACTTAATTCTATCCGGGATATTGACAGATTGTAGTGATGAGATTATAAGTAGATAATGAAAGCTGAATGATAAGCTTAGCTTAATATATAAGGACAAGGAGATAGGTTGTTTAAGTCAGACAGGACTTAGCTTGTTTGCAAGGGCTATTAACTAGGACCAGACAGTGGTGAGGGCTGTGACAAAGTAAGATGTAGAGAAAATTATCGAGTAGGACCAAAGTACAGAAGTAGTTTTAAAGGGTAGGCTAGGTTGTCGCTATAATAACATAAAAGTTTAAAAAATAAAATAAATAAACTTATCTGTCTCATTCAAATTGTTTGTATTTTCACAAATTTTTATTTTAGGATTTTGTTTAGAATCAAAAAATGCTGTGATTACTCGCATTAAAAAAATGAGGTTTCATTAAAATATCTTTATGATGTACCTCTACAGAAGATCCTGAGTATGCTTCCATCCCAGTCCATCAGTTTGCAGACCATGTAGCCAAATTACATGCTGATGGTGATCATGGGTTTTCTGGAGAGTATCAGGTAACTGCCATCTATAGTTTTTAATTTGGAGAGTTCTGTGTAAATGTCAGCTGTAGTGTCATCAATTTCATTCAGTATTGTTGCAGATAACTTTTATATGTAGTGTTTTCAGTTTAATACACTGTGAATATATTGCTGATGTCAATTATATGATACTTTTAACATTAAACAGTGTATTAAACTGAAAACACTACATATAAAAGTTATCTGCAACAATTTGTTTAAACACTTATTTTTAAAGTTTCCAGGTACTTGTCACCAGCAGTATCTTCAATTTTATACAAATACTTTTCTTGCAGATACTAGTTCTGTATCATCATTAGTAAGAGTTGGATTCAAAATGGTTGGATAAGAAGGGCCAAAAAGGGGTATATGAAATGTAACTCTCTTTCTTGATGTTGTAGGAAATATATTGAAGTAATGGATTTTTTTCATACAATTTTTCAACTAAATTTATATTTTTTAGGTGCAACTAAGATTTCAGATGCACATAAATGTTAATATCAAGTAATATACTTTATAAAATACAATTGCTTCTTATCACCAGTCACTTATTTTTATGTAAAGAACTATCATGCAAGAAGATATTTAATGTTGGAAGTGTTAAATGGTTAAATAGGGATTTTCTGAAGTTGTAAATAGTATTGATGCTTCGTAACATACATGTCAGTGCCATCATCAGTTAAAATGGGGACTTATGGATGAATAAACAACAACAATGAGACCATTCAGATGTGACTGACTCATGATTGACCTTTGGTAGGTTTCTTAATGTTGAAAATAATTTCTCTGCTGAATACATTGCCACAGGAAGGACATCAACAGCTTCAAATGAGCTCTAATGTTAAGATAAAAGACTCCAGTTGCTGAAGTTAATGTTTCAATAATTTTTTTGGGATTGCATGTACCACACAGCTCTTTCCACCAGTGTTTCCAAAGGCTGAATTCTCCTTTCAAAGGAAACACAAATACACCAGTGGTAGATTTTCCTGAAAATGTAGGCACAAATTGTAAGTCTACTTATGGTGTGGTGTAGCTCTCAGTTCTGTTATAAGGTAGTCTAAAAATGATATATAGACAATAGAGTGACATGCATTTGCAGATCTAGTCACATTTTCATAGATCTTACCAAACTTTTCTTTGCTGTTTGAGGATCTTGTTTACTTCTTTCTATGTGACTGAATAATATCAATAACTTGAAGTTGCATATTACAAGATAATGGCAATAGAGAAAACTAAAATAATACATCCATTTAAACAATCAATTCTGTTAGTTTTACTAAGAAGAGAAAATCATCTACCTTATTGTGTGATTGAAAAGCTTCTAAGAATAATACGACAGTGTAGAATATCTGATGAAAGATGAAGATATATTCATTTTATTCTATCCACCAGGTTTCACAGAGTGGTTTCAGTCATTTTGCCTTTGTTTCCCCTGAATATTTTTGAATCTTTCAGAAACTGTGCACACATCAGATATCACAGGAAAATTATCTCATGTATTGAATATCAGAAGATTTGTAGAGTGTAGTGTTTAGAATGTGATTAACACAAAAGAGTACTTCTATAAACACATCATAGTAGCACTTTTTGGAGCCGTTTTTAAATTATTTTCATGCATAGAATAACCAGCATCAAATCTATTTCATAATAGAGCTCTAAAATTACCATTATTTTGGTAAGTTACTTTTATTTCTAACATATTTTCGTTAGTCTAGTTCTCTGTCAGTCGGATACCTTCTTAGGGCAATGTCTTGTTGGTTACAAAGCAATACTATTATTATTAAAGGGACAAGACACTAGCCATGTCTTCTGGAATTGATTGTTAAACTGAACTGAAACAGCACCAATATTCTTCCAGACTTATTGATTTTATGACAAATAATTTGTCATGATATCTTAGTTGATGAATTCCAAACTTGTGAAGCACATTGTTGTTTCTCTCATTTGTCATGATATCTTAATTCATGAATTCCAAACTTGTGAAGTGCATTGTTGTTTCTCTCATTTGTCATGATATCTTAGTTGATGAATTCCAAACTTGTGAAGCGCATTGTTGTTTCTCTCATTTGTCGTGGTATCTTAGTTGATGAATTCCAAACTTGTGAGGCACATTGTTGTTTCCCTCATTTGTCATGATATCTTAGTTGATGAATTCCAAACTTGTGAAGCACATTGTTGTTTCTCTCTCAAAAAAAAATTTTTTTCAGTCTTTATCACCATACTTTAGCTAAGGATAACGATTCAACCAGTTATGCTGATATTTTCTAGATTGTTTCTTCTTATCAGAATCAAATACTGCTGTTGTTGGTGTAGTCCATGATATTATTAGTGCCTGTACTTCACATCAACTGCTGAGCCACTGTGGGGCATTAAGTAGGATACCGTGTACTTGTTAGTAGGAATGTTCATTAGGGCACTAGGTTATTGTTACTAGGAATAGTAGGTTACAAAGTTATTATCAGTAGGAATGTTAAGTATGTTATAAGGTAAACTGTCACTAGGGATACTCAGTAGGTTCTGAGATGATTCTTACTTGGAATGCTTCTTAGATTATCAGGTAACTTCAACTAGGAATGTTCAATACGTTACCAGGTAAACTGTCACTAGGGATGCTCAGTAGGATACTAGCTTTCTGTCATTAAGAATGTTGAATAAGTTCAGAGGTAATTCTTACTTGGAATGCTTGGTAAGTTATCAGGTAACTGTTACTAGGAATGTTCAGTACGTTACCAGGTAAACTGTCACTAGGGGTGCTCAGTTGGATACTAGCTTTCTGTCATTAAGAATGTTGAGTAAGTTTAGAGGTAATTCTTACTTGGAATGCTTGTTAGATTATCAGGTAACTTTAACTAGGAATGTTGAGTACGTTCAGAGGTAATTGTTACCTCGAATGCTTGGTAAGTTATCAGGTAACTGTTTCTAAGAATATTTTGTACATTACTGGGTAAACTGTCACAAGGTTATCAGCTTGCTGTCACTAGGAATGTTCAGTAAAATATGAGATAACTCGCTCTAGTAATATTCATTAAGGTTTGAGATAAATGTCACTAGAAATGTTCATTAGATTACCAGATAACTGTTACTAGTATTGTCTTTAGTTTTGTTCAAGCTACAAACTTGAAACAGTCTCTTATCATTATTTCAGGCCATCCAACAAGCTACTGACCTTGATTTGTCCTTTCAACATTCCCAGATGGTTGAAAACAAGAACAAAAACAGATATGTTAACATTGTTGCTTATGACCACAGTCGTGTTATATTAAAACCTTTGCCTGTACAGAAGAGGTTTTCTGATTATATTAATGCCAACTACATAGATGTAAGTTTTAATTTCATATCTCCTGTTATATTGAACAATATAGACAAAACATCAAGTTTATTTTAAGTTTTTATTTAGTTGAAACACTGTGGTACAAAATCTGCTTTAATAAAAGCTAGGAAAAGTAACATGAGGCTAGTTTTTTTATTTTTATATTATTATTTTGAAAATGATGGGTCAACTTTAACTGAAAAGGAAAGATATAGATTATATTAATTTCAAAACCTAATGTAAATTGATCAGTGATTTGTATCTTCAGGCAATTTGAAAAGATTTTTGAAAATAACAAGCTCTGAAAATTGTGCTAAACACTGCATCTTAACGGTCCATGTATGAGTTATGCTTAGGTCTAAGAGAACTAGCTATTAATATTCAAAAAAACTTTTTTCTGAAAAGGCCTTTGTTCTTGTTTGTAATACTGTCTTTTACTGTGAGTTTTATATTTTTACATATCATACAATCATTTAGTTTTATCTTGTGTAACATTTTAGTATTAATGTTGTCCATAATATTTATTTGCCATTAGCTGGAGTAGGAAGTTTTATTATAAAATATATTCCTTAAGATGCTACTTGTCATATAGGGAAAAAAAAACACACATTGGGGCATAACTTTTATTTTGAATTATATTTCTCAAGCTATTATTTATTACATAAACCTCTATTTGTCTGTAATTATTTCAATTATGTAAATTGTTTTTGTGGAATTCTATTCATACAAGCTGTGTGTAGAATATCAAGTATTTATTAAGGTTTGCTCTTTTCAACACATTTTTCTAAGTGTCAACATGTCATGTTTTTATTGTAAACACACCTGTAAGCTATTGACAGTGCATTTGAAGGCCTATCGCTAAGGCTTCAGTATGTAAATGATAAGCAATAAATGTACAGGTAATAGGAATGTAGTCCACACACTATTTATATTTAGGGTTATGGAAAAGCACGAGCCTACATTGGCACTCAAGGACCATTACCTTCAACATTTGATGACTACTGGCGTATGATTTGGGAACAGCGAGTTTACATCATTGTGATGATTACAAACCTTGTAGAACGAGGACGAGTAAGTTATATGTTAGTTTAGAACTTTATGAAATTTAATATCATGAGATGCTTCAAAAGTTACACCTTTATTCTTAATTTATTATTATTATGTAAAAGAAAGGAATATTCAATTTGTTTTTATTGTTTAATTACCTAAAATTTGGTGGGAAATCTTCATATCTTCTGGTTGTTGCATTATGTTTTTCAGCTTGGTGTTTTAGGTAATAGGGTGTTTACTGTACATACTGTGTTTGTATTTTTAGTATCTGAACATGCACAAAGTTAGTTTCAACTTCTTATAAGACCAAAAGCTTTGTTTATATGTGATTGGTTCTAGAACTTCAATGTAAGTTTCTTTTACAGAGAGAGTTGTTACTTAAGGAAATAATATAAATATTTGTTTAAGGTAAAAATGAAAATAAGTTTTGTGGTGATCAAATAGAAGGCATTGTAATGGTTAGCATAGTTACTTCGTCTGAACTGTCTACATTATTTTTTAGTTTTTTCAGTTAGCTGAAATATATCTTTTTAGAATCTTATTATAAATTTTCATGTAATGAATTTTTAATTTATTACTTGAGATTATTAGTTTTTTATGTGAATCTTAATAATGTCTGATAGTATTCTTTATATTATTTCTAAATTAACTTCATTGTACACTATGTTTTTAAATTTTTAGTCATAACTGCAGCTATTATAAAGTCATTAATGATAACCTCTAATGATTAGAACATAAAAAGTGAACACTTTTATATGTACATAGTTTATTGGTCTAACTTTTTGAAAGATTGTACACACATTACATAGCTGACCAAGTTTGGAAGTTTTCTGTTTTTGTATTAAGTCCAATGTCAACTGAAGCTATAAATTAAAAATTCTGTTTTCAGAATAGAGAATTCCATCATATAATAGTTTGCTTTACTACATTTGAAACTTCAATCTAAACATAAAAGCAAAGTTCCTTGAAATGAAACAGTACAGTTTGAGGGTTTTTTTTTACTATTATAGATCTGGTATATTCTGCTAGATTGAATATTCCTTTATTTAAATAAGCTCACTATTTTTTAATAACATTCACATCCAAAGGAACTTTCAGTCATATTTTTTGTTATATACAAGTAATCATTTTTCTGTTATGTTCAAGGGATGAATAAAATTAAAATATTAACTCTAGATTTTTTTGACTTCCATTTCAAAGAACGTATAACTCTGTAAAATATGGTAAATCTCTCGAAAGTTTGTATTGACCAAGATATTCTTTTGGATAGGACAAAACAAATATTAATAATAAAAGGAGAAAAATTTTGGAATAGCTGTATGTTTCAAATATGGTAATGTATTTTTAGGAAGCTAGTAGATTTTGTTTAGAATAATATTTCATTATATTACTCTATCTCTTGAAATAATTTTTATCAACAAAATAAAATTATCCTTAATATTTCCAAATGATCTGGTATTGAATTTAAATTAAATTTTTATCAGATAGTAACTTTGAATGTTCTAAGTTATCTGCACTTATAGTAATTTTTTTTCTTTCTTATGGTGAATGTAGTAACAGGAGTTGATACAGAAGTTCTAGAGCAAGTTTAGCTTTGTATTTATTTATTTCCAAGATATGCAAAACATTTTTCATGTTAAGTTATGCAGGTATGAATTCTCTAGTAGTTTTAGTACCAAGAACAGACATTTAGCCTTTTTTTTTTTCCTTGATTTGTAATACATTTACATGCACAAAACTCACCATTTTTCTGATATCCATTAAGTTTTAGTTTTTTCCTTATAAAATGTACTTGTGTTATCACAAAGTTCATTAGTTTGAAATTTTTATAAACTTTTTAGTTTTTAGAATTAAAGAGTTACTACTGTATGTGTTATTAAAACAAACAAACATGGGCACAATGTGTTATACTCTTTCTTGCATGCTAGCACGAACCTAGCACCTCTGAGTTGGATGACACAGTAAGTCTAGTTTCTTCTGTGTATGTAATATTCTTGTTTCATCATCCTAACTTATCAGTGTATTACTGGGTCTGTAACTTCATTTTCATGTCTTTGTCATGTTAAACCATTTGGGTCTGTTTTGTATGCAGCAGTTTCAAATATTTAAATAAAGATTTGTGTATTTTGTTTTACTCAGTCATTCTTATATTTATGTTTATCTTAATCTCATTGTTCCTGAGAAGTTAACTTGTTAAAAATACTCCAAGGCTTGAAAATGGAGTATTGAGAGTAATCTTTTTTTGGTATTAATGAAAATAACACAACCAGAGGATAAGAACAAGATCAGCACATTGCAATGTTGCAGTACTAATAAGATTAAAAACATTTAAAAATTAACCTTTGTCTTTGTATTATAAGGTGAATTTGCTGTTTTGTAAATTTTTTTCTCCATTTGTAGAATATGATCATTTCTTACCCCTAACAATTTTATTGGTTTCCCTCCTCATTCTTCTTTTCAAATTTATCCTTTTACTCTTATGTTTTACATATTTTTTATCAAAGTGGAAATATGTTTTCTGTGATGTTGCATGATCATTCAATGATGAGCATCAGTACTGATTTAAAGGATTCTATACTGTTGGGGCTGAGTGCAGTCTGTTGGTTAGCTTGCCAGTCTGTGGATCTGGCAGTTCATTGTTCACGTCCTGTTTCTGCAATAAAAAAAAAGTGCTCTACACTTTACGTCTATGGGTGCATTATAAGAGTCATGGTTAAATCTAAGTATCTGGTCAGGCACAAGTAGCCTAAGAGTTGCTGGTTGGTGGTTTTGACTTTCTGCCTTCCCTCTAGACTATCAGTATATAACTAGGGATGGCTAGTGCAGATAGTTCTTGAACACCTGAAAACAAATCTATAATGATATTGGTTTAATATTTCTGTCCTAATGAGTAAAGTACTTTGTGATACACATATTGGCCACTCTTTATTGGGGAACCTCTCAATGTCTAGTTAGGCTTTCTTGTTCCTTTTAACATCACACATTCTCAAAGGATGAGCTCCACCTGAGGTCTGATTGTGTCTTAAGAAATTGTTGGTCTTAGTATCCAACAATACAGCTCTCAGTACTTAATGTCAAAAGAAGATGAGGTTGTCTAACAGTGAAGCTCTCAACTGGCTAAATGTCAATGAAGATGTTCAGTAGGATTCAGATCTGGCAGTTAAACAGTTTTAAGGGAAGGTGTCTGAAGTCAGTATCATGCTCCAAGAACAAAGCCTGGACTATTTCAGCATCATTAATTGTGGCATTATTACCCCTGGAAGGATTTATGGTCATGTGATACACATCAAGCACACTAGGGTGAATCTAATCAACTATGATACTCAAGTAAGCTTTGGAATTTACTTGATCTTGCAAAAGGTCTAGAAGACACAGACTTCCCATCCCATCATCACACTTTAGCTTGAACTGTAAGTACCACTCATCTTGGGTCCTATGCTTCATGAGGTTTCACACATATTATACTTCTCCTCTCTATGCAGAATATAATTAATGTGGGTCTTATCCAACCACAGGATATTTTTCCAATAATTAATGGTCCACTATTTTCTTTCAAGGTTCCACTGCAACTCCTATATTCCTTTTGTATGCTGATATCAGTGGTTTATACTGTTGTCATCATTTTCCATAAGACATCCAGTTCTCAATATATGGTACAAGCTGCTGTTGGTTGAACCAGTCAATTGTTCCATGTTTCATTCCTGGAACTGTTTGTGGTCCTCTTTATTTGCCACTGACTGCTGTCTGACACTAGTCTCTTACACCTACATTTTTACCTGTTGGCAGAGGTTCTCTCTTTGGCTGACCAGTCATGCATACTGTGAACAAACTAGTCTTCAGCCAGTAATAGTGTCTTACAGATGGAGGCACATGTTAGGCTGTTTCTGATAATCATCCTTTACTGTAACTGAAACAAATCTTGACTCCACCTATTGTCAACGTGTCTAAATATAGTATCACTGCAACCATGTTATTATAGATCTTCTGGAATTACATGCATCAATGTGTAATTGACCTAAATTGAATATTCAGTGATTACAGAAAAGTTTTTAAAGTTGTAATTCTTTCTAATACAGATGGTATTGTTAGTTTTCTCATTTCTTAGAATACTTACTTATGAAATTTATACTTGTGAACGATTTTCTGGAGACTGGTCTCTACTGTTAGCACAATTTCCTCAATAGCAGAGTATCTGTGGCTTAGGCTGTAAGAGATTGAATTTTGTAAATAAACTTTTCAAGAGAAGTTAAGCATTCTGTGTATTTATCATTTTGTAGCTTTTTGTTTTGCATGCTTTTACATCCACTTTCATGTTTAATGGGTCATCCTTTATTTCAGCAATTTTCTAAATATAAAATTTAAACATTTAATGAAACTTCCCTTGTTAATTATTCTGGCTAAAATTGATATACTTTTAAGTTTTTCTCTTTGATATAAGAATACTTATTTTTGAAAACTAACAATGTGAAAACTTTAATTGTTGTATGATGTTGTTTAAATACAAATGAATATATTGTTTATGTGTGTATATTTGTTTCTTTTAAACACTGTGGTTTTGCATGAGAATTTTGATATAGATGTAAGAATGTTATTAATCTAGGGAGATATACTAGAGCCCATTATTAAAAAATTGTAGTTTTCTTTGTTGTTATTGTTTTTAATTTATTGAAATATAATGCTCAAAAAGGTTGAAATTTTTTAGGACTATGGTTGATGTATTTCTCTCTCTGGCATGGTAAATTCTTTTAAATTAACTAAAATTTGTATGCTAGGATATAATGGAGTTATCTCAAAATATTAGAAATATAGTGTAGACAATTCCCTGCAATAACTCAAGGTAGAGGGCATAATATTCTAAAATTTTTGAGTAGTAGAACATTATTAAAATGTCCTAAAGTTTGTAAACTTTCAAGTAAAAGTATTGAATACTTTCCAAGAAAGACTGAATTCTTGTTGTTGTTTTTATTTTTTGATCAAATTTTGTTAAGAGCATTTGGCACTGTTTCAACATTTGAAATATGATGCATGGAATTGCATGATTGGTATTAATTATTTCTCCTAAATTATTTGAGGTCTGTAATTCATTGGTTTGATATAAATGTAACAATATGAGATTAATTTGTTGACTATGCAAATACAAATCAATATAAAATATGTAAAACTGATATTGACATTAATAGTTTTATCTTTTCTTTTACTCTTTTAAGAATTATTTTCATTCTTCTTCAGAGAAAATGTGACATGTATTGGCCCAAAGAAGGGAATGAAGTGTATGGCATCATTCAAGTGAAGATGATCAGTGAGGTTACCATGGCAACTTACACACTTCGTACCTTTACTATTCGAAACCTCAAGATTAAAAAAGTAAAAACAAATTTTCTAATATAAATAAAGGAACATTGGAAACAATTTTATTATTTGGTTCTCTAAATCATTTGCAGTAAAGGATGTTTAGATATTCTCAGTTTAATTTTATTTTAATGACAAGCTCACGCCATCTTAAATTAGTGTAATTGAAGGGTGAGAATTATTTTTCACTGACTAAAAACGAATTATTTTGGTGATATGAAAAGTATAAAAAAAAGGACATTATAAATCTGGGCAGTTGTAAATAACTTGAAATTACTGTAGTAGGATAATTCATGGTTATAATGCATTGTTTTTCATGTTGTTATACTATTTTGAAATTACCACTTATTCAAATGTTTTAGTGTGAAATCCACCTCAAATGAATGCTTACAGTGTGTTCATGTTGGTATATAATTGTAATGAACAAAGATTATTATAGAATGAAAGTTATCATTGTTTGTATATTAATATTACATATTAAAATTAACATAATTTGTGATTATACTAGTTAATCCATTTGCATGTGTATATTATTATAGTGACTTTAAGTTAACATCAATGTATTGTTTAGTTTAATGTTTTGGTTTATAAAATGTTATTACTGCAGAAACTAGATGATTTACAAATATTAAAGTTTTAATCTCATCTAAATTGGGAGTATGATTAAAAGATAATGTTTCTTTGTGTGTGTGTGTATATATTAGTATATATATAATATATAATATATATATAATATAGTGTATATATTAGTATATAACGTAAGTACGGACGCGAAGTAGACTAACTTAACAA